CCATTTCATTATCTGGGGGGCTCTTTTTTCAAATCGGTAGACTCGTGATTTCCTTTGTCCCACACAAGTTCCGTTGGAATGTCGCCGCCCGGAACGCGAGGGATGCCGGCTTGTAAATCATTCTCGGAATTTGTCACCATGTACTCCGTGTACCGTGTTAAGGTAACTGATTACCGTACACTGTACCTGTACATACATGATAGGTATTTGTCTCTCAATGTATGTACCTAATAATGGTAGTATGGGTGCATGATAGTTTCTCTTGACCCATACTATACTCCAGTCACATTCAACCGACAAAAGATAAAAAGGGCCTATATAATATATATATACTCGGAAGTTTATATCGGAGTCAAATTATGTGGAATTGGTAAGGCGTTACGGTCAAAGTATCAAGGGTGCTCCCGTCACTTACCATACGTTGACCTACCATGGACTGCCCGGCAGTTGGTCCTGAATTCTACCTGGCTCCGGGCTTGGTACAGATGAATCTGGAACCAGGGAATAGCTGGCGGCTGTGGAGTTTGATGTATGTCACTTTATACGTGTATAATCTGTATGCATGTAAATAGATAACAGGGATATCTAAATAGATGATCTCACCTTTCCCCCCTCTTTCATGCCTTAACTAGTGGGGAGGGTTTAAACTGAGGCTTATCCTTTTGGAAGAGACTATTACCAAATGATCTGCTCTAGTATTGAGGCGAGAGTAAACCTTGAGAAGGAGGGAGTTCCATCGATTCAAGCAGTGGTGGAGAATATACTGTTCTATTTTGAGGATTTTGATAGCGTTTGGTATCTCGTTTACATACTACATACATCTCCGCCTTTTTTGAGGAAGCGCTTGCCCCCCTTCCCTCCCCCAGCAGCTTTTTCTTTTTAGTCTATGCTCTATGCAGAAAGCTCTATGGGCGGGCTGTGATTTGCTGCGTAACACATAATGATCGGGTATGTACGGTGTAGGTGTGTTTAGCCTGAGGGGGTGGAAAGCCATGATCCATGGTCCAAATCCAAGGGGGGACCTCGGGATTCTCACCGTCTTCTTTGTTTCGCGCCAATCTCCATCGCGATTCCCTGGATCTCTAAATTTTAGATATTTTAGTATGACCTACTATTGAGCTAGGCAACTGTCTACTGATCCGTATCTCTCTCCTGAAGATTGCTCTCTGTCCTGATTGAGGCTGATTCGTCGATCTTGATCGGGCTCTTTGAATCGAAACTGATTCATCCCCATGATGACATCTGGTTTTAGTTTGTTCCTTCTAGGCCTGCACATTATGACAGACGGGCAATCAACTAGAGTGGAGAACGAATAGATACAGGGTCAACCGCCCCTGTCCATAACATGCCAGGTTAAACTGGGCCGCTATGGAAATGGGCGCCCAACCTGCCTAAGCACAGGCGCTGAGAGGCTGAATCTGTAGACAGCAAGCTTGGCCTGAGCATGTCAGAATCTGTCGGTTTCCGTGCATTTTGTCCAGTCAGGTGAATCGTCTGTGGTGATTGCCTGGGGATGAATCATACTCCGTATTTTTAATTTTTAATTTTTTTTTTTTTTTACGTTTTCTTCTACCTGGGGGTCTTTGTATTTGAGGATTTTTGGTGGGTAGATGGCCTTAGGTATATACATCTATTTCACCCACCGTCTTGAGAATTATGTAAACCGCCTCTCGGCAGTTGGTTATGAGAGTGTTTTTTGAGTTTCCCAATAGGAAGAAGGGGGATGAATGTAGATATGTTTCATGTCCTCCCAATTTGTGCATCTCATCTCCACGGTGTTTGACATCAGAGACTCGGCAGCGTCTCTATCTATGGTCCGACGTCCTGACCTTCGACCGACCAGATTACCCCTCCTGATTTTGGGCACCGACCACTCCCTGATCAATAAATCTCACTTATCCCATCCGAGAAAAGCATCGGTCAGGATCCAACAGCACCATCTGTTATCTGCCAACGGCGCACCTTCCGTCAATGAAATTGGGTAGTCGAATTTTGTGTGACACCTTTTCTCCCATCTGCCCACCTACGGAGCACTCGCCCCTCCTCTCTCTCCACGATAACCAAACCATTAACCAACCCATGTGGCACTGGAAAATCCAAAGGATGGAGCAAATTGCGGGACCCGTTGACAGGATTGGAAACTGGAGTCGGCAATAATAAAAAGCTTTCCAGGATCGCTCGTTTTTCGATTTTCTTCCATTTCTTCCACCGCCCTTCTTGCTTTTGGATCGCTCCAAATTATTACCCTCATCGTTAATATCACCATCTTTCTGCTTCTCAATCCTTTTCAGCCCGTCCCGGCACGGCTACTATCTTGGCTCCACTGCTGGTCGTTCTGATTTTCATCTCATTGATCATTCATTTTTAGTTTATTTTTCCTTTTATTTATTCCGGATATTTTTCATACTTTTGATACCACTCCCGTAAGGACTCACCTTACCGACGGTGTACGGTACAGCATAGACCAGTGTATTGAAAACCGAAACCCACACCGAAATCTAAGGGCCAGAAGAAGGAAAGAAAGAAAAACAAAAACCGAATAGAAGAGAAACCAAAGCAGCCGGGTAAAAAAAACGATCTGTCAATTCGTGGCTTGCGTTAACTCCTGCAAACCAGGATCCCGGTTCAGGGTGGCAGGTCTCCCTCTCTTAGTCCATCAATCAATCTGTCAGAAGGAGGCGCGCGTCAAACCAAGACGTCGAAGACGAACAGAAACCGGGAAAGAAACCCCCAACGCATTTCAGTTAAAGTGCCTTCCCATCAGGATCATAACTCTAACTTATACGGATACCACTTACGGCACTGTTAAATAAAAAAGAAAAAAGAAAAGAAAAAATTGAAGAGAGAATCAGAGTGACAAGGAACAGGAAGTATCGGAAAAGCAACTATTCATTCATACTAGTATTAGATCGGGTACGATCAATTTCCTCTCCTTCCCACGGCCGAATCCCTCCACCAGCAGGGGGTAAAAAAAAAGGGAAAAAGAAAAAAGAAAATAGAAAAAAGACAGAAGAGAAAGAAAGGGGACAGAGCAAGTAAGTGTGAGAAAAGAGGGGCAAACCCGGCATTTCATCGTCCACGATCAAATCAATAATCATCACAATCACACGCTTTTTGTTTGCTGTCTGTGTGTCTCTTGCTTTTCTTCCACTCTCTTTCCCCCTTTCCTTCTTTCCTTTTTAATTTTTTATTTTTCGATCGATGTTCATCGTTGTTGTCAACACCCCATCCTTCATCCTTCTCTGCGAGCATTTCATCATCCGACCAACCTCCCCCCGCCTCTTTCAAGGTAGGTAACGAGACGGAAATCCCGCTCCCTGCCTTACTTTACCTGGCTTAACCCACGTCTTGAATTTTACCACTACTCTACTCCGCCGTACCAACCAGGTATACGTGCTCTTTCTTATTATTATTTGATTTATTATTCTTATTTATTATTCTATTATTCCTTCTTTCTTTTTCCTTTCTTTTTTCTTCTTCCACGCGATACCAACTCGGGAAGTTCTGCTACTTACTTTTTCTATTCCAATCCGGTGCCCTGTCTCTGTCTGTGTCTCTGTCTATCTATCCCGTCCTGCCTCTTGCCCTTGGAGCCGTCTCCATTTCCCCGGCGCGAGTTCATGACCTGCTTTGATTTTAATATTTTATTTTTCAGTTCTTTCTCTAATAAACCCAGAAGGTCCTTTCTTTGACTTTCCCACTGTTCGATCTACCTTTGGCACCAGACGACCCGACAGCTCGGCTTAGCTATTGCCCCCAATTGATCGGAGAGCAAAAACGAGTGCCAATCGCGTGTCCTGTTTATTACCAACGTACCCAACCGGGCAGTGTTTGGTGCCGATACAGCGTACGTACTACCTACTGCCTACTGCCTCTTTCTTTTTCCATCAACACGATGCAGCTCGGTTTGGATTAATTTCTATTACTGCCATACTGTTATTACTATGTTTATGGATTATGATCATTATTATACTGTCGGTATTATTTACTACCTGACTCTATGCTCCCAATCGCGCGCCTCGTTCCCCTGATTTGATTTCCAACGAATCATGTTTAATCTGTCATTTTTTTTTTTGCCTCTTTGCCTCCCCCTGGTTTGGCTTGTTTTCTTGTGCGCTTTTTGATTTTCCCTCTCCCTTCTTTTGGGTTTCGGTGTTTCAAGAAGAGCAGACAGGAACCAAACAACCACCAAAAAAGACACGAAAAAAGACACGAAAAAAGACACCCGAACAAAATTTTAGCAAGCCAGGACGACTGGAACCCAGGATTACCGCTACTCGCTAGGTTCAGTCGGGCGTGTCCACTTCAGCGATTTTAGTAGCTGTGCGGATCTCCTGCTCTGTTTTTCTCGCCTCCCTCTCTTTTGCCAGAGTTACCTTTACCTGCCTAGTGCTCCGAGCTTCGTCCTGATACCCGCTCTAATATTACTTCGTACCGTCGCCTTGGGATTCTCGTTTGCATTAGCTTTCTCCTTTATTTCCGCTGCTGTCACCCTCCCCTCCTTCTGTTTTATTTTATTTGTATTTCTTGCCCTGTTGATTTTCCTTTATGCCTTTTGGTACCCTGAGCTGGCGGATCGCTCCGTCTTGTGCCGCCTACCGCTGACTCCTTTCCACGATAGCCAACTAATTATTGGAAAGCTACCGGTCCGTGGCCTTTGTCAGGCACATTTCCCTGGCCGATCTCTCTCGCCCCTCTTTGTGTGACGCAACGAGAAGAAACTACTAAACGTCTCTCCGTTCCCCGAGAGGCCGACGCGAAAAGCAAAATTACCACCGAAAAAAAGAGCCAGACAAAGAACTCGCAAGCGGCTAGGACGTTGTTCAAACCCCCGCGCCCCGAGGCTAAAGCTGTTTACCGCTTTGGGAACTTTCTCGTGAGGGTGAACGATTCTAGGTTCTGTTCGCCGTCGCACGCCCCAAACCAACCGGGACCGCCTGCCGCGTTCTCTGAGGACATCACCATGTCCACATGATTGCATGACTCTCCCGCCGAATCGAATGTCTACTGCGCACTTGCGACGAGCTGGAGTTCCTGATCGTAGCCGCGGACTCTCGATCATGGAAATCAGTGCAACGGACGACAAACCGACCCCCCTGCCCGCATATTCCGGCCCTGCGCCCCCGATGCATCATCGCATACCCCATCCCGACGGAGGACATGGCCCGCCTAGTGACTCGGGGATAGTATATGAAACCCCTCCGTGGCGCCCTTTTCCGGCCCCGTTCGAAGGGCGCCCTGCCGATCAACGACGAACCTCCAATGCCCCCCAGCCTCCGTTGCCGCCTCACGGGTACCCCGTTCACCCAAATCGCGAGCTGCCACAGCTCCCTCCGGAAGTCCCATATAATCGACAAGGAAGCCTGCCCGGCGCATTTCACTCCATCTCGGACACGCACCCGCCGCATTCAACCTACCGCCCCATGAATGGAACGCCGCACGAGGCGGCTTCTCATTCTGCGCCTCCTGACTATCGGCCTCGTATGTCTTTTCCACCTCCAGAAAACCAAACCAACGGCGATCTGCCACCTCCGCCTCCACATTCGCTTCCCCCGGCCCAGTTCTCGACCCCCGTCCCGCCGCATATATCGCATACTCCCGCGCCGTATGATCCAGCTTATTATCAGAACCAAGCTTATGGGATTCGTCAGCGCAAGGCTGCTAGAGCTCAACAGGTAGACTCTTCACCTATTCTGGACATGTGTTCATTGCGATACCAATCGCAAGAAACCAAAATCCCCATGCAGAGATGACTAACTATTTATGTTTGCAATTTGAGAAGGCTTGCGATCAATGCCGAGCCCGAAAAGCAAAATGTGACGAGGGACGACCGGCATGCAGTCATTGCAAAGAGAATAACATGATCTGTGTTTACAAAGAAGTCCCGCCGCATAAGTAGGTGGCCTAGATACTCTTACTCACCCGGAGAAGTGCTAACGGTATCCAATCAGACAAGAAAAGAGCACGCAGATGCTAATAGACAGACTTGCACACCTTGAGGACATTATTTATGAGAAGACGGATATTATACAAAAGGTTCAAGTTGAGCATGGGAACCAACTAACGCAGATCATCAAGAACTTCCCGCGGGAACCCAAAGTGAAGATGAACAAAGAGTCCCAGAAGCCGACGGTCCAACATCTACTGAAGCAGGACAGCCAGCAAGAGTCGGAAACGAAGGAGGAAAGTGCCCCAGTGCCCGTGGGACAAGAGTTGACTTCGAGCGAGACCACGGAAGCGGGTACCGTCACTGTAACCACTCAGGAAACGCTGGAGCCCGGGGAGGATGGCGAACTTTCGATTCCGGTTGAACACACGACTGCGGCACATAAGCTACTGATGTGGCCCTCAATCAAGGAGCTTCTTCTTCCGAGGGAGTATGATGAGGATTACGTGATGAGGCTGGAGGAAAAGCGAGGATTGATTCGTGTTTACGGCCGGGGAGAAGGCGACGACACGAGCGACGACGTGGGTCCATTCCCGCCGCCAACGAGACCGGACTACAGCCCCGAAGAGCACCACACGCAGACCGCGCCGACCAGCGGACCCTGGGGAGTGGGCGCTACGCCGCCTCCCGCCCGCCTCCCGGACAACGGCCTCGACGAGAGTGGTTTCCTGACCACGGACCCGGAAACGCTGCGGCGGTATCATCGCAGCTATATGGACCACATTCACAGGCTCCACCCGTTTCTCAACCAGAGCGAGCTGGACGCAAAAATCGGACAATTCATCAAAACCTACTGCCCACGGTCCGCCTCGGATTCGCCGTCTGTTCTAAGCAACAGCACTGCGGGGGACGTGCCTAGAGGAGCAAAGCGCAAACGCTCTTGTGAGAATTTGCAGGGTGCGGCGTGTGAGATGCAATCCCCGACGGGCAGCAAGAATGGGCGGATCCACGGCCGCCGCATCGAGAGATCTGTCGGCAACGCCATCATCCTGTTCGTTTTTGCGATCGGGAGCATCTGTGAAGTCTCGATCGTTCCTGGGCCCGTCATGGATGACCCGGTGGACTTCCGGAAGGAACGTATCCCCGGTCCCACTACTCGAAGTGTTCAATCTCCTGCAGGGTCCGATTCCATTCTACAGACTCAAGGCAACATCTACGCCCCAAGGGGACGCGCATTTCCATCCCCGTCGGTGATAGACGGTCGGAAATCCTCATCGGGGCGGCCAGGCTATATAGACAATCGTCACCTGAGGAATCTGGATGTTATCCCGGGTTTGGCGTATTATGCTTATGCCACCCAAATCATCGGCAGTCTCCAAGGGGCTAATGGACTGCTTCATGTCCAAGCAGCTTTACTCGCTGGACTCTATGCCGGTCAACTGGCGCATCCTTTCCAGAGTCACGGATGGATCTATCAAGCCGCTCGAGCTTGCCAAGTTCTTGTCCGAACGTAAGTTAGATGAACATTTACTTTCAAGCGACTCCCTAACGCGTTGATGTAGGAAACGGTATGAGCAATTGGAAGATGGTCCCGTGAAAGATCTCTATGATTTTGCGTACTGGACTTGTTTGCAGCTGGAAAGGTATGCGGTGCGAATCTATGCCGGGTCCGTCGTGGAATGCTAACCATAGTTCCAACCTTCAGCGATATCCTAGCGGAACTCGACCTTCCAGCCAGCGGCATATCTCGTTCCGAGGCCCGCATATCCTTGCCCAAGGGTCTTTTCACACTTTCTCTTCCTAACGAGATTTCTGCACCAAGCACCATGATGATGTTCTTTTACTCCGCCCAGATTCATCTCAGAAAAGTCCTCAATCGTGTTCATACCGATCTGTATAAGGTTGAAAGTAAGATTTTCCCGCCCAAAAGGATCCATTTCGTATTGATGATGGCACTAATAAATGATCCGAAGAACAAGGTCAGAACCGTTGGTCTTCCAACGTGCAAGAGATTCTGAGTATGAATCTCGAGCTCTGGCGGACGAGCCTGCCTGATATTATGAAATGGAAGGACAATGACCCACCTCCAAAGGAGATTAACGTCGCTCGCATGCGAGCGAAGTATTATGGCGCACGATACATTATCCACCGACCCCTCCTCTACCACGCTCTGCATTACGCCGCCGCAAGCCCCGACTCACTCCCGTCAGTAGACTCTCCTACTGCACCACCCCTTTCCGGTTCCAAATCCCAACAGGTCTCCCCGTCGATGACGCACAGTCAGCGTGCCTCGAATATGGTGCGCCTCGGTAGTGATATAGGCACCATGGGCCGGAATTCCGTTTCTTCTGCGCCGGGTAGAAGCATGACTTACCGTGACCTGCCAACCAAGCTGCGAAGAGCCTGTAAAGTGTGTGTCGACTCCGCCATTCTGAGTACGGAAGCTTTTGATGGCATTGAGGGTCGTCCAGTCGTGACAAACATTTTTGGAACTGCACACGCGTATGTTATATCTCTTCACATTTATCCAGTTAAACAACTTGCTGATTGTCTCTGTTATTCTAGTCAATTTGGCAATATGTTGGTCCTGTCTGCTACGTACATGTCGAACCTCACCGAGCTTGTCGATCGGAATGACTTAGAGCGACTTCTCAAGCGAACGATCGGGTTTCTCCTGCAGAGTCGCTACATCTCACCCAGTCTACGCGCCGATGCTCGAATACTGACCGAAATATACGAGAAGATTTTTGGTGAGCCGGCAGCAAGCTTCTCAAGTATGGACTAGGTTGCTCTCAACTATATAATGCCCCCGTTTACCTGCCTGTGTCACAGGCCAGGCCGCATTGTAACGCACCCCCTGGCTCCGGCTGATTTCCTACCTCAGAAGCAGACTATGGTCGGGGTAGTTTTTTAATATATGGCCTTCGTTTTCTTGCAGGCATACGTTGTCATGCCCTTCTCATGACAATGGTTCCTCTACCTCCTATAATCCTCTACTTCTTCTGAGAGGTCGGACTGCTCCCTTGGACAGATATCTTGCCCTTACGTCTTATATGGTCGCATGGGGGGGGGCTCTTTGATTTTATTTGCATTCTTTGTTTGGTGAAATATCACCTGCATTCTGGGGGGTTGAGCATCTGATACGTTTTGTTGTGCATATGGGAGGAAATGGTGGCTCTTTCTGATTGAAATGTGTTTGTTAGGTTTGATTTTCTTTATTTTTGCCTGATTTCGCACTCGGTACTATACTTGCTGTCTTTCTTTGGACTGGGAGTTGAATTGGCGTTTATTATATCCCGTTGGTTTTAGCGGACCTGGCATCTGGGCATGGGAGGTAATCTTTCGTTGCATTTACAGTGGACCACGGAGAATGACCTCCTTTCTTACATTTTCGAGGCGTTCAAATTGGATGGCTGTATAGTGGCTGTCTAGGCCATAAGAGCGGTGGTGTCTTGAATTTGTTTCATTTCTTTGTCTCCTGAATGTAGATCATGAGTGCGATTGATTCCCTCAACACATGACAGCGAACCCAATGAATTGAAATGGTCATTACTTGTCGTTAGACACGGGCATTTATGGATGTGAAAATGCAGGGGCTGGTGCATTGGCAATGACACCAAAGGGGGTTGACGGAATTAAGGGAGTTTGGGTCCGTCAATCATTGGAATTTCTCTCCCCCAGTCAGCCTCGGTTGCCCATGATTCCGTCCGTGCCTTATCCCCGCAATTTGGCTGCGATGAGGCTGCCCTGTGAACCATCCTTATAAAGCCCATACCCGCTGAAAGGGGAAGCAGGTGGTTGGATTTCGGAACCTGGTTCTTGGTCTCCACTACGCTTGCATCAACCTCCTTACGCGCGTGTAGACAAAATGGCCCCCGGGGCGCTTCGCCTCTCTCGAGAAGGTATGTATCTTTGGTGCTGTCTTCACCACATGCTAAGGTTGGCCAGACCCGCTAATTCACTCTGGACAGGGTTTACCGCTGATGTGACTGGCAAATCTATCCAGCGAACGCTGCTGAGCCCTTGGAAAACATTGCCTCTGATCCTACTGGCATATTATACGGCCAAAGGGAAAGAGATCGCTCGGAACCACCCGCGAAGTCTCCAGGTCCTCCAAGTGCTTGCGTCGCTTGCGGTCCTCCGTCGCATCAACGCATGGATCAACCGACGTGTGTTGAATAATGGCACTTCGGATCGATACTACTGGAACCGCGAAGTGGTGGTGTTAACGGGGGGTAGCAACGGCATCGGCAAACATGTAGCCATTCTGCTGGGACATCGGGGGATCAAAGTCGCTGTCCTCGATATCAATCCGCCCGAGGACGAGCTCCCTCCCACAGTCCGCTACCACCAGTGCGACATCACCTCACCGGCCGCCATCGCGGAGGTCGCGACCAAGATCCGCACCACGATGGGCTACCCGACCGTCTTGATCAACAACGCTGGCTTGTGCAGTGGCCGCACCATCCTCAACAGCACCGAGGCCCAGACTCGACTGCAGTTCGACGTCAACACGCTGGCGCACTACTGGCTGGCCCGCGAGTTCCTGCCCTCCATGGTCCAGCGTAACCACGGTATGGTGGTCACCGTGGCCTCGCAGGCGGGCTACACTGTCACGCCCAACATGGTGGACTACTCGGCCACGAAGGCGGCAGCCATCGCCTTCCATGAAGGGCTGGGTGCGGAACTGGTGACAAGGTACCATGCGCCGCGGGTCCGTACCGTGCTTATCACCCAGGGATTCACCAAGACGGCGTTCATCAAGGACCTGACTCCCGAAGACACGTGGTTGAATCCACTGCTGTATCCTGAGACGGTCGCCGAGGATATTGTGAATCAGGTTCTCACCGGCTCCAGTGGACATGTCGTCGTGCCGGGGTCGACTGGTTGGCTGGCGAAGGGTCTCCGTGGATTTCCGTTGTGGTTTCAGCATCGGTTGAGACTACGGTTGGAGCGCCTCATGCGGACTTCTGATTAGTGGGGGGATTGGTTATTATACTTTTGTACCTTGAGGTTTACTGTTGCTGGGGGTCTAGGTCTGGGGAATTTATGCCTGGTACATATTTGTATAACTTGGTTCTCACGGGTAGTTCTTGACTCTTCATGCGGAGGATTAGGGATCGGGTGTTCGTTTTCTGCATCCTATAATAATTTACTTTAAACCAGTCGAATCGTGCGTAAGATGCACGATGCTGCAATTGGCACATAATTCCTTCAGTGTGAAGGTCCAGACAGATCGACCGACCAGCTCGGAGGGAATCCTGAGGCCTCCCATTCGTCCAACTGGCTGGCGGGACCCGGGCAAGCATGTCTTGTTGAGCCACATCATCACATCTCGAACCAGTCGGCAGCATGTCATTTGGGAGGGGGTGCCGGTGATTGAGCTCTGACGACAGAGTTCGACAGATTGAGATTGAGATTGAATCGTTAATTACTGCCTAGTAATCATTCGGAGTAGTATCTAGGAGGGGGCTGGCTGGAGACGGATCCAATGCTCGTCATGGTTAATCTCCCTTTGGCCAGTCCAGCCTCTTGTGTTTGTTTTGCTTGCCCTCTCGACGGCACGTGCGGCCCCACCGCCTCACCGCGACTTTTTTTTTTTTCTTCATCTTCAATTCCGTCGCATTCCTCATCGTCGCTTTTTTTCCCCGACCGAAGGGCTCTTGTCCATCCCCATCTGATCTGGAACCTTTACCTGCATCTTGTCCATCTTCCTTTTTTTTTTATCATATTCTTTGATACCCCACATTCCTCATCAATATTGCTTTTTTAATTCCTTTCCCCCCACCTCAAGTTGATTGATTCCCCGCCGTCCTGCCACGGAATAAATCCTACCTGGCCATCCTTGCCTCAGGCGCTAAGGTCACTGGATCGCCCTAGCGGCCGATTGTCTGGAGCAACCAAACTAAAAGTTGGGGCCTCCGATTCCCGAGTGACAAAGAACCACGGTTCAGCTCCGTCGTTGTTTACTGCGCTTGTCGCCCAGCAAAAACAACTCGTTCCACGGGCTGAGCTGAACCTGACGGCACTTTATTCTTGCTTGCCTGGCCTTGCCTACCTCAGTGGTCCCATCCACTTTCAGCTCACCTCCCCGTCCCTACTCTCTCTCTCTTCTCTCTCCCTCTCTCTTTTTCATCTCTTCCCCTCCCCTCTCATAAGTATTATCTTAATCCTTTGATTCTACTGTATTTTATTTCGCTCCTTTTGTTTTTACGATTGCATTTTCTCTCACTTTGTTTTCCTTCCCCAAGATAATTCCCCCCCTCCCATACTGTCTAATATTTAGGGTTTGCGACTTCTAATTCCTTCGCCTCGCCCCAAATTCCGCGATTGACATTCCACATGTGCGTCTGAATCGCTAGAGCATTGCTCGGATCGCTCTCTGCCCATCATGTTCAAGGCTCTCATTGGCGGGAACCGCTCCTCCTCCGACGTGCGCAGCAACTCGAGCTCTAAGAGCAAGAGCCGTCGCAGGACCGACTCCAAGGGTTCGACAGTGAGCCGCAAGTCATCACGGGGTGACGACCGTGACCGTGGCTTGGGCGACCTGTCCGCATATCCATCTTCGAGTAGCCGGAGTCGGCGCAAGGCATCGAGTGTGGCCGGAGAATCCGTCGCCTCGAGCTATGCGACGGCCGAACCGGGTGTGTCGGGCGACCCCGATCCCCTTCTTATCGAACGAACCCCTAGACGCCGCGATTACGAAGATTCCGACCGCCGCGATCGATACCGCGATGATTACGATGAAGTGGAGGATGGCTCCTGCAGGCGCAATCGGGCGCGCTCACCCAGCCGAGAGCGTGAACGCCCTAGGTCAAGCCGATACAGCGAAGGAAATGACGACCATGACGATAGTAACGATGATTACGATAATAGGCGGCGCGATCGTCGCCGAACTCGGTCGGGCGATGCGTATTATCCGCCTGTCTCGGGTGCACCTGATATGGCATCTCCTCACCTGCCTCAATTTCCGCCGCAATTCCACAGTGTGAGTCCGGAAAGCCCGTTGCTGGCCTTCCCCAATGCGCCCGGAAACTATGATCCTCATGTCCAACAACAATTCCCCGGCCAGTTTCCGGCGTACGTGCCAGCGCCTTACAGCCCGCAGAATCCCGCAGGCGAAGCAGCAGACTACTATGGTGACCAAGGTCAATCGGTCGCGTACCAGCCCGGTGTGCGGCCCAAACCTCCACTGGTCGCCTCTCATGACCAGGCGCATTTGATGACCGCGTCGCCAACCGCCAATCCACCGCCGGAACCGAGTAGTATGGGACAAATCGGCGCTGCCGCTGGCTATTATACTGACGATGTTCCCGATACTCCCGTCACTGAACAGCCCAGCGGTTCATCTGCCCCAGCACCCAAGCCGCACCGACCGTCTAAACCATCTATACATACTTCCGGGCCTGCAGCTGCCGCCGCTACGTATGGAGTAGGAGATGTACTGCATGACAGCAGTGCGTCTTCATCGCCTGTCCACGTTGAATCGCCAACCTCAATTCATGACCCGCCGGCTGCTGGTAATACTCACAAGCCCCCGCAATCCCATGGCATGGGTGTTTCGTTCGGTGCAGCCGCAGCGGGTGCAGCGGCCGGTTACGCGATGGCTTCCCATCATCACTCGTCAAATGCCGACCACACCTCCCAATATACCATGCAAAATTATGAAGAGATCTCCCCAAATCTCACGGGGCAGCTCGGTCCGTCGATCTACCCGCCCTATTCGAATGCACCCGCATATGCTGCTGGTGGCGGTGCACTAGCTGGGTACGCTACTGATCCCTCGCATCCTCATCATGCTGCGATCTACCATAGCCCTCCACTGCAAGGCGGAGAGCTGGCTCTTCAACGGCCTCAGCGCGGTCCCATGGATAAGTTTATCGATTTTTGGCGTGACCCCGAAGGCGTGGGGATGTTCGAAGACTACACAGAGGCAATCGGAGTCTGTAAATATTGTTTTGAACCCGGTACAACCTCGCGTGACGCACCTCGAAAGCACAATCACAAAGCACGTCGCAATTCCGGAGATCGATACAGCAACGGGTCTCGGATTGATAAACTGATTCGCTATGGGTCTTCCGAGGACGAGGGCCGACGACGCAAGAAATCTTCAAGAAACTCCTGGCTGCCTGGAGTGCTTGCGGGCTACGGAGTCAAGTCGCTCTTCAACAACAAGGATTTTGATGATACCTATAGCGTTCGATCTGGCCGCGTAGTCTCGTCGCATGAGACTGAGAGCGTTTCAACCGCACGCAAGAGTCAGACCTCACGAGGGGTTTATAGGCGCTCGTCTCGGAGTCGCTCTGGAGATCGCTCTCACCGCAGCTATCATGCGGACTCGAAAGTTGGTAAAGGGGAGATGCTTCGAATCAGGTCTCGCTCTCGTTCTCGCTCTTCATCGCGAACCCAAAGTCACTCTGCTCTCAGGGACGCTGCTCTAGGTGCTGCAGTAGGCACGGCAGCCGTGTCAGTAGTGAAGTCTCGCCACCGAAGCAGCAGCCGAAGTCGGTCACCGCGTAAAGCGCGCAGCAGAACCTCTTCTTCATCCGACTCCTCCGTTCTAAATATCTCGGGGGCGCCTGAAAAACCCGCGGGAAGTGGTATTGGTTCATTCTTTTCTGCGTCTTCAGAAAACCGCAAGAAGCGTCGTACGAAAAAGCAAGGGAGCATTTTCTCTTTCAAAAATAATTCCTCTTCCTCTTTGGATAATGATCTGGCTTTTGGAAACGGGTACTCGAAATTGCCGCCTGGAAAATTGAAGAAAAAGAACCGCAAGAAGGATAAAAAGGACCTTGAAGCGAGACTTCTGGGAATGGGTGCAGTTGCAACTGCCCTCGTGGCAGCTCGTAAACACCGCCGACCAGGTGAAATCCTCGCCGGCAAAGATTCTCGATCAGGTCGCTCGGACTATACCTCTTCTGCTTCCAATGATGAGGGATGGGAGGACCTAGACTCGGGTGACCAGTCTCCCGCAAGTGTCAGTTCGGGACTCGCTTTTGGTGGAGATGACTCCCATTCGTCAGATTCTGGGAAGTCTATCTGGGGCTGGAGGTGGGGAAGTAAGAAGGACAAGAAGAAGGCGAAGAAGAGGTCTGATTCGAAAGACGACCAACTGCCAAGTGCTGCTGCCCTGGGCGCCGGTGCTCTGGGAACAGCCGCACTTGCTTCGGCCTACTCCAGGGGCGGTAGAAAGACCAGCCAGGATGCCATTAGCAGTACTGGGAGTCTTCAGCATGTGGCTCCAGTCCCCACCAGCGACCCGTCCCGGTTTGATGCCATCAGGGTATCGTCGAACCCCCCTGCCCAGCCAACTTTTGTGCGCCCGGGGCCTATACCTCTTCAACAACCCCAGCCTGTGACACCAGTCTCTCAAGCGGTATACACCTCGCAAGGCGAGCCGATTCATGCGTACAGTGCACCCGCGACCGGAGATCCAGCATTCGCAGGGGCACCTTTTGCTCCATATGAACAGCAACCGTCCGAAACATTCAAAAAAGGACCGTGGAGTCAAAAGGGCCCACCGTATCCCGATGTTAGAGATGAGCCTATCATTAGACCGCCTCGACGAAGTGACTCTTCTCCCGTGTTTCCTACAGAGTCCCTAGAAGGGTCTCAAATTTCCGCCCTGAAGCGTCGATCTACTACTAAAGACCAGGCGTCGGTCTCATTTGACCTGACACAGGAACAGGAGGACAAAGAACGACGTGCGGACCGGCTCGATAGGTTGAGACGCAATGCTGACTATGATGGAGGCGTTCAACTTATTGACCGAGAAAGTGAAACGGGTTCGTGGGATCCTGATCGCCGTTCTAAACGCAATAAACAACGGGATTCCGAATCAGCCCGGGACGATGGCTACGAGGACGACCGAAGGGACTATGAGCGGGATCCTCGAAAGAGCTCTGATTCCTCGTCATGGATCGGCCCAGCAGCAGTAGGTGCCGTAGGTGCCGCGGCGGCGGCATCGGCGCTTTCCAGCAGAGCTTCCCAGGACGATTCCTCAGAGACGAGTCGACGCAGTGAGGAACGCCGAGAGAAGCGTCGAGCACAAAGACGCGGCGCGTCTGAACCCGGCTCGACTGTTTCAAGTGCACCTATGTCTGACGTTGCTGATGAGCGCTCGTTCTCGCCACATGAGGCAGAGCATATCAAAACTTCCGCATTCCGTGATGTGTATCGCAAAAAGTCGGTCCACGATGATTATGCGCAGTTCTTCGCCCCCGAAGTGCAACGCTATAGTCCTGACACCTATCATCGCCGCGAGCCTACTTCGATGCCTACGATCATAGAAGTAGAGCCGACTAACCAGCGCGTCCGCACATTGAGCGAAGGTCCGCATCCAGAATATGACAATCTGCCTTGGCCGGTACCGACTCTCAAACTCATTGAACCCACACCACCGCAAAGCTTGAGCGGATCGGTTAGAGATCTCGCGTCGCCGGTCATGTCAACTCCTGAGATAATCGAGGCAGAAAGTCCACCAGAGCGGCCGACAACAGGCTCAAGGGTCTCTTGGGGCGAGCATGAGATGCACGAGTACGAAGTTCCATCTACGTCTTCCGATCACGAATCTATCAATCATGATCTTCCAAGCCGAAGTAGATCGAGTAGGAAAGACGATCTCGCTGATGAGGAACTCAGTCGAGATATTAGAGACGCCTCGCCTAAGAATTCATCTATTAACGTCGAAGGTGACATCGATTTTGCCGCAACGGTGGCTGCAGCCACTGCAGCTACGGGCTTTGATCCTTCACTCGTGACGGATGATCCAACCTACCACACGCGGTCGTCACCCCCTGGATCCGGGGTCCAATTCGTTTCGCCTTGGACTCGGGTGCCTGTTGATTCCAGAGAGCCGCATAGGTTTGCCGAAGGCGAAGTCGAGACATCGGATGATAGGCCAAAGAATGGGGCACCACCAAGACAGTTCATGGACAATGAACCGCTTTTCTCAGAGCCTGAGCCCGTCACTCGGGAAAAGGATATGACCCACGAGAACAGACCCCGGTCGTCCATTGCACAAGAGGTCATTGAGCAACTGGGTGGACACCGCGATGACCGTCGCAGATCCCGATCCCAATCTCCCCCAGACGAGGCCCTTTCCATGCCAGGTGGATTCGGCCAAGAGGACTCACCCACTAGGCGCCCGCGAGATATGCCCAAGGATGGATCCCAATCGCTCGTTTCGGCATCCACACCTGCGGATTTTGAAACTCCGACAAAATCACGATCCCGGTCTAGTACCGACGATTTGAAGCTGCAGGAAGATGACACTGCATCTTTAGCCGAAACTGGCTCTGAAGGGAAAAAGAAACGGCGCAAGAGACGCTCCAAGCGAGACACTGACGACTTTGAAAATTCTGCTTCTGTGACATCCTCGCCGGCCAGGATTGGAGAGAGCCGTGACAAATCCAGAAGCACATATGAGAAGACGGAAAAGAAGCCGGGCAGCTTTTTAAGCAGTATCTTCGGCTCTAAAGTCTCTGAGCCAGTAGACAGCAAGAGGTCCTCTTCTACAGATAGACGCACGTCTCGCGAAGTCCAATCGGATATCGGAACCCGGTCACCGGAGGGGTCGAGACATCGGCGGAAGGAGAGGTCTTCTAGCCGTCGCAGCTCTAGCCGTGCTGATACATTAGAGGGCGACTCTTCTGATGAGGACAGTACGGTTGCGGAAAAGGAAAATATCAACGTCGAAGGCTACAAGTCGAGCAGACAGCGAAGGGAAGAACGCCGGCGGCAAAGACACGAGGGCATTCTAGAATCTGGTAAAGGAAGGGGAGATGAGAAGGTATAGTTTTAGCTGTTTTTCATTTTTCTTTCTTCTGTAAACTTTGTGTGGTTTGCCTGATCTGATCCATTCCCGGACTTTGATGATTTGTGAATATGTTATATGACTCATGTACTAAATGCTTTATTGCTTCAATTTTTCTACGTATAGGCCCGAGATTCATCTGAAGACAACGATGAAGAAACCAGAGGACTGGGGCTAGATCTTCTAGAGCAGCGGCCGAGAAGCCGTTCAGAATCGCTTCCTCTATTAGCGAAGACCTTCGACCTGGAACCCAAATCGCAGAGTAGACCAACATCTCCTGAATTGGCCCAAAGACAGGGTGAGAACGGAGATTTCTTTGCATCGCAATCGGTCGTGTCGCGCTCGAATGACTCGCCGACTGCAGTGCCTCTGCATTTCCGCCGGCCCCCAACCTCACCGGGTCTCCAGCGTTCACCATCTGCCAATTTCCCGATAGCCCCGTCTCCTGGGTCTCCAACTCAGACCCGTCCGCGCCGGCCCAACTCAACCGAATTCCGAACCTCGCGCGAGATCCGCCCCTTGTGGCTCGTGGAGCGCCATGGTTCCAGCAAAGTAGAACTACAGCCCGATGAGCCCTTGCCCTCGCTCCCATCCAGCAAGAGCTCGTCCGCGAACGCATCGGTCGAGGACCTGACTGCTCTGTCAGATGAGAAGAGCTGGGAGATGCTTGACTACAGTCATTATGTCCACGGCATGCCTCAGGCGCGAGGCATCGATCAGACGACCCCTGCCACGCACCCTGAGGAGAACAACATCTACCACGATTTCCTTGGTTCTCAGGAAGGGACACCCACCGCGGCAACTTTCGGCCAAACCAGTGCTCCCTCCTCGGCCAAGAAGAGCAAGCCCAAGTACGAATTCCACTCTCCGTCGGAACTCCTCCAAGATCCTAGTGTGTATGGCGAATTGCCGTCATCCCCAACGATGGGATCGCTGCCTTCGGCCGAAGGCTCTGCGGTTGGGATGAAGAAGGAAGATGACAATCGACCTTCGACTCCGGAGAACAAATCTGTCGATATTTCGGAAACAGCAGAGTCGACGCCCACTCAACGCAAGACTGCTCCGCTGGCGGAGCCTAAGGAGTCGTCAAAAGGAATGGGCATCGCTGGCGCTGTGGGTGCTGTAGTCGCGGCAGCAGTTGGCTTAGATAGACATGCACCATCTGGTCTATCAGATAAGAATGAGGAAGGGATGGCGGCAAGAACGGATAAATCGATGTCGAACGGTGAAGATACCCCTATTTCGCGTGATCTTCCGCCAGGCTCGTTCCAATCAGACAAGGACATTGAAGCGCCTCAGTCTGCATTGAGTGCTCAAGACGAACCGAAGGCACTTGTTGACCCCGCCGACTCCCCTGTAGCAGGACCTGCCGATGAAAAGCGTGAAATTGCCGATGAATTTACGGCAGCTGAGCCGGCTAGAGAGTCAAGTGCCGTTCCAGATAAAGTGAAAGACGCTTCTCGGGACCCTTTCCTGGATGAGTCCGATGTCCTTGGAGCTTCACCTACCGAACAGACCGCTGAAGCGGTGCCTGAAGCTACGCCTCAAGAAAGCGAAACTGTTCAGACAAAAACGGAAGATCTAACCGCTGAATCTACCGAACCGGTCTTGTCGAAGAAGCAGAAGAAGAAAGACCGAAAGAAAAAGAAGGCGGCGTCCAGTGAATTCGAACGGGTCCTGCCTGCCGAGGAACCAACGCCCGTGGAAACCCCTTCTGCTTTAGATGAACCCGAGAAACCTGAGGCCACCGAGAAGCCAGAAGAGCCACTTCCTCAAGAGCCCGCACCGGAAACCGTTCCTGATGACCTTGAAGCCACTCGTTCGTTAGAGCCTGAAGTACCACCGGTTGCGGAGGCTGAAGAGACACCTGCCAAGATTGTCGATACCGCAGTGGCTTCTAAGAAGCTAAAGCGTGACAAGAAGAAGAAAAAGAAGAACATTGGCTCTATTGCGGAGGAGATTCCTGAGGAACCAACTACCGTTGAATCTACACAGCCTTCCGCCGAGACCCCGACGGATGAAAACGGCTTCAAATCGGCCGAGGAGGGCACGGAGCAAAAGGTGGAGTCGCAAGTCCAAGAAATCTTTGAAGACTCTCGGGAATATCTTTCTCCTACGACTCGGGGGCCAGAGGAAATTACTCCAGAAGTCACTGAAAGCGTCGAGCATGAGACTTCCATCCTATCCGAACAGCGTTCTCTAGAAGCAACGGAGACTAAAGAAGATAAGGGGCTGTTAGAAACCCCAGAGCAGCCACAGGATCTGACGACTGAGCCTACCGTCACTCAAGAGGAATTTCCAGAATCCACTCAAATCACTGGAGAGACCAACGCTGCAGATGACTCAACTGCGCAGCAGAGTAAAACGCTCTCTCGTCAGGATGAGACGGTTGAGACAGTTCCCATCACCGATGTTCCAGAGGCAGTCTCTGCGCAGGGCGATTCGACTGCACCAGATCTAATGGACGAGGGGAAAGCAGAGAAGCTCGAGAAGGAAACGGAAACCCCTACCGACCAGGCAGCAGGGCCAGTAATAGTCAATTTGCAGACTCAGGATATGGAACCAAGTACTGTTGTTGAAGATGACCTGGCGCGCAAAGACCAAGAAGACGCCAACGACAAGGGCGCCGCGGAGCCACTCGAAGAGGTCGGAACCGCAGCTGCGCCTTCAGAACCTGTACTCGAGGGAGCTTCCGAGCCTGCAGTTCCCCGTGATGGTGAAATTGACGTGAAGGGACCAGAACATACTCAGCCGCAAAACGAGGAAACTTCTCAGGATCTAACAAAATCCGAGGGGCCAATTTCTGAGGTCCCTGCCTCAATAATGGACTCTCAAGGAGATGACTCGCACGAGCCTACTCCGAAAGAGAACCTAGAAGAGGTAGCCGAAGACACACCCAAGAAGAAGGGCAAAAAGAGCAAGAAGAAGCGCAAGTCTACCGTTTCATCGCCCGATCCTCCAGCTGAGCCGGAGAATGAGTCTGAGACAGCCAAACCCGAAGACCCTGTCCCAGAGAAGGAGCCCGCCCAAACTGCTTCCCCATCGCAGCCCAATGACCAGGACACCACAGCTGTTGCTGAAAGTCAGGATGCTCGCGAGGAACAACCCTCTGAAACTAAAGAGGAAGAAGCCGCGCCCACAGTAGCGGAACACAACTTAATCATCCCGGTGGTGGAAAATTCGAGTCCTGACACCAAGGACGCCGAGCAGCCCTTGCACATGTCCGAGCTGGAACCGGCTGAACCTATATCTATGCCTGAACCCGAGTCGCAGCCCCTGCCCCAGCCTGAAGTGGAAGGGGAGAAGGAGAAGGAGCCTACGGGCAAAAGGGGCAAGAAAAAGAAGGGGAAGAAGAAGAGCGTCTCCGCCGTCTCGGACGGGGCTGAAGCTGTGACTGCGCCTTCTCCGGACACCGCTGTCGCCGATGTTTCCAATGATGTGGAGACAAGCGCTTCTCCTGAAGCTACTACCCCCGAGGATAACCAGGAACTTGCTCAAGAGAAAACAACAACTAAAATTGAGCCTGCTTTGGATCCCGCCGATACGTCTCAACATGAGGATCTAGGTGTTTCTCCCGAAGCCAATGTCCCGGAGGATGTCCAAGAGCCTGCCGAAGATAAATCAGTGAAAATTGAGCCGTCGGCCGAGAAAGTTGTAGAGGGCGAAAAGGACATTGAGAATCAGCCTGAAGAGTCTAAATCGGAATCCCTGGAACAGCCCCAAGAGCAATCTGTGGAACAATCCCAGGAGCAACCTAATGAAGAGCCCCTCGAACAACCCAAGGAGTCCGAGCCTACCGAATCCGAGGTCCCCATGACTGCCGCTCAAAGAAAAAAGGCGAAGAAGCAGAAGAAGAAGAAGGATCGCCAATCTGCTTCCCTGGAGACGGGCACGGAGGCGGTCCCCGTTGAGGTCCCTACAGAAACCGATCTCAGTTCTACGGTGGAGCCGGCTACTGCGCCTACTGGCACTCAAGAGCCTGAAGGTGTACCGGCTGTTTCCGAGGAGGCATCAGGCGTAGATGACAAGCAAGAGAAGCAGATGGGGGACATTGCGCCTGCTACCGAGGACTCAGAAGGTCTACGAGCTGTTCCAGATCACTTGCCAAAATCAGATGACAAGGCTGTGCAGCCGAATGAGGAGACGCATGAAAATGCGGAATCGAACATCCCGACTGAAGAGCCTATTCCGTCTACCGAGTCTCTGCCTCAGCCCGAGCCTGAGCAGCAAGAATCCGCAGATACTATTGAGGAGGCTACGACTACGATAATGCCTACGGATAATCAAGAAGATTCTCGACCTGCACAGGAACAAGCTACGGAGGAGGTGTCTGCTGTAGAGACCCAGGAGCCCATTTCAGTGCCTGGAGAGTTCCCAGAGACTGCAAACCAGCCTGCCGATATCGACCTCAAGGATGAGGCCGTTGAAGGTGGTGCTGAAAAGGACGAGCCTACAAAGTTGGACCCCGAAGATTTCGCGGAAGGGGTGTCCAAGGATGTTGTGTCACCCGCTCAGGATACCACCGAGGAACAGACACAGGAGGAACCTGTCCAAGAGCCAGCAGCTCAAGATGAAACTGCCAAGGAGGAGCCAGTCAACGAATCAGCCCTCGAAGAATCCGTGCAAGATCCCGGACCAGCAGAAGAAGTCAAGGACGAGCCGGTTGTTGATGAGCCCGCACAACAGGAGTCTGTACAGCAGCTGACACAGCTGGAAGAGTTGAAGGAGGAGGCGATTCAAGAACAAGCTCCAACTGAAATTGATCCGATCAGCGTAGAACCCTCTTCTGAGCAAGCCGACGTCGAAGAGAGCACCACTACCGCTGAAAAGAACGTCCCTGAATCTACACCAGAGGAGACCCAACCTGAGCCTTCTGCAAAGTCTAAGAAGTCCAAGAAGAAGAAGAAGAAGAGGTCTCAGTCTGGCCATGTCATTCCTGAAGAGGCCAAAGAGCCGGTGACAGAGGAACCAATGGCAGAGAAGCCTGTTCAAGTGAAGTCACCTGAACAGGAACCCGAGAAAGAACCGCTTGTGCAGGAGCCATCTGAACAGGAGCTAGAGAAGAAGCAGCAGGTACAAGAACCAGCTCCCGAAGCTCCCGAACAGACTTCAGTCGACCCAATCAGCACCGAAGACTCCGAAAAGGTGCCTGGCGAAGAAGATACCGCTCCTACTGAGACGGAGAAGGGCATCACGGTAGCTACACCTGAAGAAACTCAGCCCGAAGAGATCTCTGCGACTTCCAAGAAGTCCAAGAAAAAGAAATCGAAATCGGGACAGGTTACTCCGGATGAAGTCAAAGAGGCAACCCAAGAGGAGCCCGTGAAGGAAAAGCCAGTGCAGGAACCAGTGCAGGAGCCAGTTCAAGAGCCAGTTCAGGAGCCAGTTGAAGAGCCAGTGCAAGAGGAGCCAATGCAGGAGGGGCCAGTGCAGGAGACTGCTCAGGAGCAGCTCTCAAAAGACCTGACCAACGCTCCCGAGCAGACCCAAGGCGAAGAAGATGCCCTTCCTGCCGAGGAAAACGACACGGCAACCGCACCTGCGGAGACCCAGCCTGGAACCCCTCCTTTGTCCAAGAAAGAGAAGAAAATGAAAATGAAAAAGTCTCAATCAGGACAGACTACTCCTATCAGCGAGGTGGCCCCAGAAATTGCCCCCGAGGCGTCATCGGATGCAAAGCAGGAGCTCTTCGATGCTCCTGAAGACAAGCAAGATCCTCCTGTTACTGATACACACGCACCCGCACCTGAAGGGCTAGACGTTCCTGAAGAATCGGCGCAAGAGCCCAAAACCGATGAGCCTCAAGTTGATGAAGCCAAGACCGAGGAGGAACCGGCGGTCGAAGAACCCAAGGCTGAAGAGCCCAAGGCCCAAGAGCTTAAGGTCGAAGAGGAGCCCGAGGCCCAAGAGGAGACGCTAATTGGGTCCTCTGAGTCGACTGACCCAGCAACCCCAACCGACTCACAACCTCTCCCCGATCCAACCGAGTCTACCACCGCTCCCGAATCCATTGAAGAGCCCCAGCCCTCCACTAGCAAGAAAAAGAAGGACAAAAAGAAGAAGCGCCAGTCAACTTCAATTGATGAGGACCAGCCTGCTCCTACGACCGAAGAAGCGGGTGAAACTCTTTCTGAGAAGCCGCTGGAGCCCGAATCCGCTCTTGAACCTGCGCAAGAGGCATCCTCCACCGATGCCGAAAAGTCTGAAGAGAAGGCGATGCCCGAAGATTTCACTCAAGAGTTAAATGGCGATGACAACAAGTCTGCAGAGTCCGCGGGCATTGAAGAGACTGCTAAGAAGCCAGGAGTCGTCGAATCTCAAGAGACTGTAGAGACTCCCGAAGCTATACCAGAACTTCGAGAAGGATCTTCTAAGAAAAAGAAGAAAGACAAGAAGAAACGCAAGTCCGTTAGTTTTGCCGCTGAGGAGTCACTAGCGCAGGAACCTGAACAATCTACATCCGAGTCTGCAGAGCCAGCCACAGAGACCATTGACTCGTCTGACAAGTCCATTGAGCAAAACCTCGGGGATTCCGCCTTGCAAGCGAGCCAAGAGAGTCAGGATGGTGCGCCTACGGATGAACCTCACCAAAAGAAATCTCTGTCTAATGAACCCACCCAAGATACTGCTGCTGCCTCCGGGTTAGAGAATGAGAAGTCCAGTGAAGTCTCTGCTCCACAAGAAGAGCAGCCTCAATCGCAATTCGACTCTATAACCGAAGAGCTAGAGCACGTCATGGAGCCTTCTGAGCCCGTACACATTCCCACAGTAACAGAAGAAAAAGCACTCGAAGAGGAAATCCCTGATGCCACGTCAAAAAAAGACCCTCTCGGTGATGCTCAAGTGTTCTCTGAGCCTAAGCAGGAGACGCCAGGAATAGACATACCCGCTACGGATAAGACTCAGCAACCGCCCGATGTTGAAACTCCTCCTGAGCAGACAGCTTTTGGAACAGTGCCTCAGGCTGCAGAAAATGGGTTAGAGGAAATGACCCAGACTCCTAAATCCAAGAAGTCGAAGAAAAAGAAGAGGGCTTCAGGAATTAGTGAAGAAGCTCCCGCAGAGGCACCAGAACCTAGTAATGACAAGACTACGGTGGACACGGAGAAGATTCCTGATACCCCGGCTTCCGAAGATATCGCCGCAGAGCCTGTGGCAGAGCCTGTCGCAAAACCTATTGCAGAACCTGTTGCAGAGGCTGACGCCGAGCCTGTCACTGAGCCTGAGAAGTCAGAGGACAATGAATTCGCAAACATGTCTGCCAAAGAAAAAAGAAAAGCCAAAAAGAAAAAGAAGGCATCGGCAGTAAACAAAGAAGCTCCCGCAGAAGTTCCAGGGCACAGCAGCGACAAGACTCCGGTAGAAACAGAGAAGGTTCTTGATGCCCCAGCCACCGAGGAGATTGCTACAGAACCTGTTATAGAGCCTCTTGCAGGATCTATCGCCGACCTTACTGCAGAGCCTTTTACCGAGCCTATTGCCGAGCCTGAAAAGCCTGAGGATTATGGGTTCGCAAACATGTCTGCCAAGGAAAAGAGGAAGGCCAAAAAGAAGAAGGTTTCAGGGGTCGTAGAAGCTCCAGAACCCAGCAGCGAAGATACACCGGTAGAAACGGAGAAGGTTCCTGATATGACGGCTGAGGAGGACATAATCACAGGGCCTGCGACAGAGCCTGCCACTGAGCCTACCACTGAGCCTACCACTGAGCCTACCACTGAGCCTACCACTGAGCCTACCACTGAGCCTACCACTGAGCCTGTCGCTGAGCCTGAAAAGTCAGAGGATGATGGATTCGCAAACATGTCCGCCAAGGAAAAGAAGAAGGCCAAAAAGAAGAAGAAGCGGCAGTCAAAAAGTATAGATGTGGGAATTGACGAGAGTGCGCATCGAGAAACGAGCGAAGTCGAGACTCCTGCCGAAGCCGAACCCTCAGACCCTTCTCTTGAGATGGCAACTGCACCTACTGAAGATGACGGTAAAGACAATCAGTCCCACGACACCGGCGTACACGGCAAGAACGATAAAGATCTGACTTGGACTGATGACAAAGTATCTTCGCAGGTAGAGCAACGGTCACCGACTCCACCCGCTGACAGTCCCCATCCCGTGCCTGAGCCCAACGATCCCGATTTGTCATTTGCGTTGCCCGGTGTTGAGGGGGAAATTGCTGATCAAGTTGATGCGGGTGGGCAAATTCAACCGTCCACAGAAAATGAAAAGGAGGAAACTGGTGAGGGAAAGCAGGAAATCGAACCTACAACGCATGCCGAGGGCTTCGAAAACATCGCCAGCGAAACGACTGAGGCGGTAGCACCTACGCATGAGACAGAAGGATCCACAGCTGAGCCTACAGTTACAAGGGAACCTGAAGAACAACCGAAACCAGAAACTTCAGATCAAACCCCGGCGGCGGAGGAAGCTGTACAGGAAGAAAAACTGGACAAAATTGAGACACTGCCCATCATTGGCGAAAATGAAGACGACTCAGTGGCTATCTCAACCCCGAAAACTAAGGAAGATGTTGTTCTCGAACCTACCGGTGATAAATCTGTGGGTGAAACGGAAACGACGAGTGAGACCGCCCCACCAAATACCGATGCGCTTGAATCCACCGCGCCGTCAAGAAAATTGAGCAAAAAAGAGCGGAAGAAGAAGCAGCGCGAGGCGCAGAAGGCAGCAGATTTGTCTAAGGAATCGGACACGCAGGGTCTTCCTGAGGTCAAGAGCCAGTCAGCTGCTTCGGCTACTCCTGAGACTGGGGAAGGTGCGGAGACATTGCCTGAGGCCTCCGTGCAGGAACCAAGAGAAGAGTTGAAACCACAGGAGCACGTCGAGGACCATCACGTCTCCGTCGATGACGCTCTTCCCTCCACTAGTGATCAACTAATTGATTCGGCGGCTTCCGAAGACAAGAAAGACACGGATACTTTCCCCGAAGCTCCCGAACAGGAACCTAAGGAGGAGCATGTCGTGGAAACATCTAAGCCAACTTCTACAGAAGTGGATCTTCCATCCTCTGATGCCCAACCAATCGATCCGGCGGCTTCTGATGTCATAAATTATACGGAAACAATCCCTCGAGCACCTGGGCCGGAGCCGGACAAGGAGAAGCACTCAGAAGTACAGCCTGGCTCTACAGAGAGCAAGGTGGAACCCGAAACAGCCATGGAGGCGCCTGAGACGGGTGCGAATGAAGTGCCTTTAGTCTCGAACTCTACTACCGCTAAGGAGCCTCGGAAAGGTCATATGAAAAAGGCCCTAACTCCAGAGCCTACAGATATGGAGATTCTCCCTAAGAACAACAATGAGGACTCCAAGGCCATCACTTCACAATATGACAGGAACGAAGATAACGAGGCTACCCAGGAGGAAACAAGGGAACTTCCACGAATCGAAGATGTGTCAGCACAGGTCGAAACTGCGGTTGACGAGGGAAACCCCATGCAAATTGAGACGGAATCCGCCGAGCACATGCAATCACCTGAGGCGGACCGTGGACTGCTCTCCGAAGATAAACAACCCATCCTGGACGAGACGATCACTTCGCCTGAAGGGGCATCTGATGAGCAGCCACAGCAAGTCACAGATGACCAACTTCCCGAAGAAAGTGCCCCGGTGGAGCAGTTAAGCCGGAAGGAGTCTAAGAAAAAGAAAAAGAAGGCGAAGAAGGACAGCAAGAAACAGTCTGAGGATGTTCTTTCTCCTTCTACTCCTGTTCCCGCTGAAACCAAGGAGGAAACCACAGCAGAGACTACTACGACGGGGGCATCTCCTGAAACCGACCTACCTGTTGAAGAACCAACGCCGGAACCGAAGGAGATATCTGAATCTGAAGTGCCTCTAGAGGGTCCCACGGCGGAGCCTCGAGATTCTGAGTCAAGTTTAGAAGCTCCTATTAGGGCACCTCTTCCAACAGGCGAGAAAACCCAAGAGATGCCCGCAGATATTCCAGGCCAAGCTGTTCGTGAGCCCGTTGAGGAGCAACACGAGTCGGCGTCTCGGGGAGAGGAGGGACTGAAGGATGACGAAAAACCGGTGCCTGTAGAGAGCGAAGCTGCTGGTAAAGTTGATCTCGGTCCCGTTGAAGGGCATGGGGTTGGTGACGATTCCGAAAACGTCGAACCTGCAGAGCCTCTCTCCAGGAAGCAGTCGAAGAAGGATAAGAGAAAGGCGAAGAAGAAGGCCAAGCAAGAGGTTGATGAGACTGCGCCGCAGTCGGAGCCAGTTCCAGAGGCTCCTAAAGAATCTACTGAAGAGCAACAGCCTAAGCCCGAGTCCGAGGCGGTTCCAGTGGTTCCTAAAGATATTTTCGAAGAGCAGCCTATCGCTACAGAAACACCAGTGGAGCAAACGAAGTCGCAGGAGTCGGAGCAGCCTGTTCCTGAGTCCGAACTGGCCCTTGAGGCTCCACGGGAAATTAACGAAGAGCAGCCTACCGTCAACAAAGCACTTGTGGGGAATGTGAAGCCCCAGGAAGAAGACCAGCCTGAGCCTTGGACATTTGTGGAGGCTACGAAAGGAGTTACTGAAGAACAAACTCCCACCCCGGAAACAGGATTAGAGGAAAGGTCACAAGAAGCAGAACTCCCCGAACCTGAGGCAGCTGTGGAAACTACTTGGGAGATTGTTCAAGAGTATGAAACGCCGAAGGATTTGAGGAAGATGAGAGATGAGCAACCGGGGCCCGAACCAGTTCTGGATGCTACGAAAGAACTTACTGGGGAACAGTCTGTCGTTCCGGAAACAGCGACAGAGGAGGAAAAGCCACAGGAGACAGAACACCGCCAGCTTGAGTCAGTCTCAGAGGCTCCCAAGGAAACTGTCGAAGAGAAGTTTGCCACCACGGAGACATCAACTCAGGATCCGGCACTAGGAGCTATCGAAGATACCAACTTGGACGAGAACCCTGCTTCGAGGAAATTGTCTAAAAAAGAGAAAAAGAAGAAGCGCAAGACAAAACAGAGCCAGGAGGCCACATCATCGGAACCCGGTGCTCCCAGCGAGCCTGCAACCGATCTCGTCTCTAAACCGTTCCGTGCACCGGAAGAATCGGAGACTTCAGACCCAAGATACTATGCCCTTGATGATGACTTTTTGCCGTCCATTGATTGGGAGAAAGGTAAGATCGATTCCAACGAACCATCTCCCCAGTCGTCGCCTGAGACTCGACCTGTTCCATTTGAGCCAGGCATTGCTCCATTCGACGAATCTGCTATTCCAGAAGGTCTAACCGTACGATTAGACAACTTGGTTGCTGCAAAGGGAACGAGGGAAGCGCCAAGAGGTTTGGGACATGGAGCGATGAGCTCGATCCCAGAAAAGCGAAGCAAGGAAGATCTTGGTGTTTTGCCACACAGGCAACCCAAAGTCACCAGCGTGTTCCCCGACTTTGAACAAGGCTCATTCCGACTTCCCCCGCCCATTCAATTGTCCCAGCCAGTAAAAGATGAGGCCGAGGATGAGACCGTCGCCCACAAGCAGGTCTCGGAGGCGTCCATTCCCACTGCCGACGACAAAGTTAGCGCCCACGCCCAGGAGGATACTACCTCCCGGGATCTACAGATTGATAGTACAGACCATGGGCTCTCGGAGGATCCTACTCGCGACGATTATCAATCTGCTACCATCGAAAAACCCTCCGTTGATTTCGAGACCGAGAATCCAGGCCAAAAAGCCGAAGAAAGCTCTCGTTCAATCGCGACGCAACCCTCGATCGAGAAGAAAATCGGCGCTGTGGAAACCAACCAGCCCGAAGGAGACGTCTCGGATCCGTTCACCAGCAGCAAGACTCCTTTGTTTGCACCGAAGCCCGTCCATGAGATCCCTTCCTCTATCTTCGGTCCCACCGATGTAGAGCGACGACTTCCTAGCCCTGAAACCTGCGAGCTTCGACGCAGTCCATCCATTCACGGGCGACCCAACCATCCTCCTCGATCATGGTCTCTGGAGGATGCTGCTCCCATTGCAGATCCTAGAACATCGTCGCCTTCCGGTTTCGGTGGACAGCTAGGAGCCAGCAACGACATGGGGTCCCCTCCGCGGACCCCCTTGCAGACAATTACCGAACAAGAGCCAAGGGAAGGCAGCCGCGGCAGGGGCGCCATAGCCTCTGAGCGCGGCACGCCTCGTCTAGAGATGAAGCCAGAGCATATTCTCCCCCGACCCGAAACTCCGGTCCGCAAGTTTACAGACAACGCGCTCTCCCGCCAGGCGTGGCCTACGCCAGAGAGGGATACGCCTACCAGCGAAGATAGGGGGGATATGAGCGTGAGAAAAGCGCGACAGACAGGCAAGAAATTCTCAGCGGAAGTATTACAGACCCCGGAGCAAGGCATGCCGATCCTGAGGCCCACCGACAGCGTGAACAGCCTTCGGAGCGCGCAGAGCCAGCGATCGCTGCGACGAATGACCCGAAGCACTAGCGGCGATTTGCGGGCGGCGGCCAACCAACCGGCGGGAAGTCCCCAGCCTCCCGCAGCCGCTTCGCCCCCTCTTCCGTCCGACGTGAACTTCGAGCGCATCGCTTCCTCTTCTTCCTACGACCCGGTCACGGACAAGGGCAAGCGCCCCCTACGAACCATGACAGATGTCTTTGTAAGTTTCTCTCTCTTGTTCTTACTGCTCATCTCTCCACAAAGATCTATTCTTTTGTTTCCAAATTGTTGATTACCATCGATGCTGACTTTTTTGTTTGTTTAGGAGGGATGGGGGGAGACGCCGAGCTCGCCCCGGTCGCCTAGCCGACCGCCCAGCGTCCGGCACCGTCGCAGCATGCAACACCTCCAAGAACTCGAATCTCGTCTCGATCAACTCGTCTCCGAAAATCGCCTTCTCTTAGCCGCGCGGGAATCGGCCGAGGAAAAATTACAGAAAACTAGTGTCGCCCGTCGCAGGAGTGACCGTGCCCTCGACACACGCGATGCTGACCTACGGGACAGGGAAGCCGAGGTGGAACAGCTCAAGAGCTCGGTGGACTGGCTTCAGAAGGAAGTCTCTCGATTGAACCAGGAAAATGAAGGGCTGACCTCCTCCAATTCTCACCTCGTCGCCCTCCATGAGACCGAAATTCAGACGGTGCGAGAATCATCCATCCGCGAACTGGACGACTTGCGCCTACAAAATCGACAGCTATCGAAGAACATGCAAGACAAGATACGACAAGAAGTCGATGCTGCATTGGCCCAGAAAAACATGGAGCTGCGCCGATTACGTGAGGAACTCGAGAATGCGCGCGACAAAGTGAAAGAGTTACAGCAACAGATCGCCGCGTCGATGAACGAAAACGTCCTAGTCTTCCGCGACGAAGACTACTTCGATGCCGCCTGCCAGAAGTTGTGCGGCCACGTGCAACAATGGGTACTACGATTCTCCAAGCACTCCGACCATCGCCGCTGCCGCAAGCTTGGTGACCTACAAGACGAGAAGATTGCCGACCGATTTGACAACGCTATTCTGGACGGCTCGGATGTCGATGCATACCTTGCCGATCGGGTCCGACGACGCGACGTATTCATGTCTGTTGTAATGACAATGGTGTGGGAGTTTGTCTTCACGCGGTACCTATTCGGCATGGATCGGGAACAGCGACAAAAGCTCAAGTCCCTGGAGAAACAACTGACCGAGGTTGGTAAGCGCGGCGCTATTCACCGATGGCGTGCCACCACCCTCACCCTCCTGTCGAAGCGTCCTACCTTTTCTCGCCAGCGCGACAACGACACCGAAGCTGTCGCGTTGGAGATCTTCGATACCTTGTCGCGTCTACTGCCCCCGCCCACAAACGTGGAACCTCAACTCCTTGACTCGCTGCGGAAGGTGCTCCGGGTGGCAGTTAACCTGTCCATTGAGATGCGCACGCAGCTCGCCGAATATATCATGCTGCCTCCGCTGCAACCCGACTACGACACGAACGGCGACCTCGCCCGACAAGTTTTCTTCAATGCATCTCTTATGAACGAGCGCAGCGGGGAGACCACTTCGAACGAGGAATTGGAATCCCAACAAGCCGTGGTCCGGGTTGTCCTGTTCCCCCTAGTGGTGAAGAAGGGCAACGATACGGGCGACGGTGAAGACGAGGTGGTGGTCTGCCCAGCACAAGTGCTTACTGCGCGCCCATTCAAAGATAAAAGGGTGTCAAAGATGATGAGTGGGGACCGCATGTCCCTGGATGCCAACAAATCCGTTCACAGTGTGGCCCCGTCATCTAATATGGACATGAGCAATGCGATCTGAAGTGTCACACTCGGATCGTGAATATGACGTGTCTATGGATCTGCACTGACGGTTGTTGGTGTCTTGTGTTTTTCTTTTTGATTTTCTTTTTCTTTTCTCTAGTCCGGAGTGGTGATGGACCATGCAAAATACGGACCACTAAATTTTATTAGGTAATGGGTAATTCTGCGAGGAACAAGGCCTACGGGTCTTTGTTTTTTTTTTTTTGGTTTTCATTGTGTTCTATTAACGATGCTTATGATGATGTCAACATCTAGAATTGATGATGTGACGGCCCTATCTATTATTTTGTTGATTGATTGAGATTTGCATGTACATGAGATATGATTTTCATTTCTTTTTCCGTTTTCTCCTTTTGTTCATGATTGTTGCTGCCTGTACTCAATATGTAGCATGTACCGATACCAAATATTATTAGTTCTGATGGCTGTCTCGGCGCGTAGCGGTACCCAGTCATCGTAGCAAATCGATAGGGCGAGACCTTCCCTTATCGCCTGGCGGTGACCTCATCAGCGGCCTGAGGCAGGGGCCCCACGAGTGAGTGGATGATGACGGGATTCTTTCTTCCCTTCTCTTTCCTTTCCTTCAGCTCTCTCGTGCTCTTCTCCTGATGCCCGCATCGTTGAACCGTTCGCTGAGTCCTGACCGATCTTTCTCCTGAATCGGTTTCTCTTCCTCCCTAATCCAATAATCGCCGTTTTAGCTCTTGCAGCTCCCGCCTTACCTGCTGTCTTACCGACTCCTTTTCCGCTAGCTCGGGTTTCAAACCATCGCTCACGGTCAGTTCCTTGATTCTCGTTAGTGTCTCCGATGTGCCAGACTCTACTACAGCTCGCCACGCACATCCGGCCGGCTAGCTGCGACTCTTTGCCCTGCAACTCGATGAATCGTCCGTGACAATGCTGAAGGTCGACCTCCTACAGCTACATGGACGTTAGGATAACACTTTGCCCCTTTTCGCCCTCTCATTTGTATCATTTTTCCACTTATTTTTTTTATTGGCTATCTTTGATGCGTCCCTTTTTGGGCTGCCACCAGCAAAGCAGCGTGTACACCGTACTGGGGCTGTGTGAGATAAGCGATTTGGACCTCGATCCTTCTATCAATTATCGTGCATATTATTGGTCTTAATTCCCCGGTTTTTCACATATTTATTTTTATTTATTCCAATATGCCCCCATCGCCATCCACTCCTAAAATTCCCTCCTCCAATGGCCGCTCGAGCGGACAGCGACCACCTAACACGCGCGATTCAGCCAACTCTGGAGCTGGGAATTCGGAGAGAAGACAGGATATTCCTACGGAATCTACCGTGACTACCGGTAAATCGTCCAAGCGAAAGAAGAACCGTCATCGAAAGCGTCGGAACCGTCGACAATCGTTTCTTGGTCCTGAAGAATCGTCTTCTGTCGTTGCTTCTGCTTCCGTCCCCGATACGGAGGGCTTGGCCCCCATGGCCACGGATCAGACCAAGTCGCGAGCGGCTCTTCCCTTCTACAAGCTGGGTCGAGATTTAAGCAGTACAAGCTTGGAGAGCGAGGCCTTGTTGGATCATCGGTATGTTTTAACTTCTGGGGGAACCCATGCTCGGTCGTATGCTCGGTCCCATGACTAATTTCTTTCCTTGTGACGCTTGTGCAGGAACCAGCCTTTGATGCGACCTCGCAGGGACAGCCGCCTGGCTCAATCGTTTCGTCCCGGAACTTCGTTGACTGGATACCACCCAGGCGATTCTAACACTCGTTTCCCACTATCGAGTGCTTTGCGGGGCGCTGTGGATAGCGATGGCGCAGAGGCGGTGGATGATCGGACACCATTGATAAGGCCTGTCTCAGAGCACAAATCGAACCTACCGCGATATGGGACCGATTCAAAGTCGAGTCCGTTCTCCTTCCGCCAGAGACGGAAGTCTAATGACACAACATCATCCCGGTGCTCTCCTCGTGCCCTTACGAGCCCAGCGTTCCCCGAACCGGGTCGCGAATATGACATCAACAACCCGCCGTCGATACCGACAACTCCGAAGATGGGCCCCGAGCTTGGTTACGACGACGCCGTGGCTACGGGGACGGAGTTCGGTTTCTCGATCGCCGCATCCATCGACCACCGTAGGGATTCCATGCACGACATGGTCATTGATATGGACGACACCAACCACAGACAGGGTTCCCCGCCTTCACCTCATTCTGCGCAGGATGCCCTCCGTCGACGGAGGACTCTCGCACCCGAAGAGGACGTTTGCTTCCCGGTCGAAGAGGCGTCGGAGCTGGCTGAGGAGGATGGACTAAGAATGTCTCGCGATGAGCGTCGGAGACGGCGGCGGCGAGAGTGGCCCGATCTTTCCGTTCTGGAGGAATGGAGTCGTGAGGAGAAAGAGGACCGGACAGGTGACTTCCGCACGAAGAAGATCAGCGAGCCTATGCTTATCGAGGGTCGTTTGCGCCCTCAATATCGACTATGGCGGCGTGATGAGGACGATGTCCCATACCGCTTCACATACTTCAATGAGGAGTTTCACAGCACGATACATGCCCAGACGATCTCAGAACTGGTTCAGCCTGGGGGTAGCTTCCGAGAGTTGTTCATCCCCAACCCACCCGAATTGGAGGATTCCTCTGATGATGATGAAGAGGAAGAAGAGCCCGACTATCATGCCACTAGAGAGAATACGGCGGCCGCTAACATCAATAATCTTCATGCCGCTGGCGAAGGGGAACGGCTGCAACCCACTAATGGCACAAACCACGAGAGCGTAAATGATCGGAAACAAGTTCCTCGGGCCTCCATTATCAGTGAAGCGATCTCGGAAGCACGCACATCAGCGGATGTGTCGCCGGCGCGCCGACCGCCCCTGGTGGCTCCTCCCAAACCGAAGCGCTACGGACCTCGACCAACATTCTGGCTCGACGTTCTCTCTCCGACGGACGCGGAAATGCGCGTGATTGCGAAGGCATTTGGTATCCACGCGCTCACCGCCGAGGATATCATGATGCAGGAGGCTCGTGAGAAGGTTGAACTGTTCCGCAACTACTATTTCGTCAATTACCGGACTTTCGAACAGGATGTCAATAGCGAAAATTATCTGCAGCCAGTCAACATGTACGTGGTCGTGTTCCGAGATGGCATCATTTCTTTCCACTTCTCGCAGACTCCCCACCCGGCCAACGTGCGGCGGCGCATCCGACAGTTGATGGACTACTTGATCCTCAGCTCCGATTGGATCTCTTACGCTTTGATAGACGACATCACGGACGTGTTTGGTCCGCTGATCCAGTCCATCGAGGACGAGGTCGACGAGATTGATGAGATGATCATGAAGATGCATTCCGCGGTGCCTGGCTCCGGGTCTAACGAGAAAGAAGAATCCAGCGGCGATGAATCCAATACGGTAGCGCCGGGTGAGATGCTGCGACGAGTCGGAGTGTGCCGCAAGAAAGTGATGGGAATGTATCGATTGCTGAGCAACAAGGCGGATGTCGTCAAGGGCTTTGCCAAGCGATGCAACGAGCAGTGGGAAGTTGCTCCCAAATCGGAGATCGGTCTCTATCTGGGTGACATTCAAGACCACATCATGACCATGACCAGTAGTCTGACCTATTACGAAACGTATGTTTCATCCCCATGACTTGAAACTTGGTTTTTCTGGTGGTACAAACTTACTAATTCCAATTTCCAGGCTTTTATCACGCGCTCACTCCAACTACCTGGCGCAAATCAATATCCTGATGAACGAGCGCCAGGAACAGACGGCCGACGTACTGGGCAAGCTGACCGTTCTAGGAACGATCGTGCTGCCGCTGAACATCATCTGCGGTATGTGGGGAATGAACGTCAAGGTCCCTGGGCAGGATGTGGATAGTTTAACGTGGTTTTGGTCCAGTAAGTGCTTCTTTTTTTATTTTTTATTTTTTTTTGCCCCTTCTTCCTTGTTTGCACCGTGTCCCATATCATGTTGCTAACGATATGTGTACCTAGTTACGGCGGGGATCGTGCTCTTTGCTTTTGCGTCATTCCTTATTGCGAAACGAGTCTACAAGATTGTATAGATTTCTGTCTGGTCCTCGGATGATTTATCTCGATGACGAGATTCATATACCCCTCCCTTTCATTTGCTTTTTTTTGCCCATTGCTTTATATGTATGTCCTTTTTTTTCGTATACTTGCTCTCTCTGTACATTGGGTTGCTTGCTATGGATTGGAGTGGCTTGACTTAGACTTGCTGTTACTTGCTGTTCGTGTACACAAACTTACCTAAGGATGGTGATTGGTGGCGTTCAGGGTCGGCTACCTTCCTTAAGCGAGATTACTTAGTAGCTATCAATAATAAGAGCAGGATTTGGCGAGAGTTCTCGAGTTCCGGGCTTTCCCCTTAAGATGAGGTCATCGTGATGACGCTGACGGGGCGGAGAGGCGTAACGGCGTGACCAGGCATGACAGACGCTGCCACACATTAGAGCGTAATATTACCGTATTCGAGTCACGACCGGTACCCTCGGCATCTCCCAGCCAGTTCCTGCCTTCTTCCTCCTTCCTCCGACTCTCTCCTCCTCTCTTTATTTCATCATTCCTATTCTCATCTTCATCCGTCCTCGTTTTTGCCCATCAATTTGAAACCCACCCACTTTTGGAGTCTCCAGCGTTCGTTGCCTGACGACAGGGAATTTTCCCGCCTGTGCGCAAAACCTTTCCCCCAGAGAGATCGTGCCGGGTCTTCTTGACGTGGGCCGCTGTCATTGGACCTTGACCTCCCTCCCCTGAAGTACCTACCCTACCACTAAAGTATTCCACTGGGATCGCTGGTTACCGACTCTTTCCTCGACTTTCCTAACCGTCGCCGCTGATATTCCTTGCATCTTGCTTCTTTCGCCTACTGGACCGTTTCATCCACTGCCAACCTTCCTCCCCACCCCCCACGAGAACACAAGAATTCAACCCGCCTTGCTCGGTTGTTCCACCTCCCAAAACCGTACCGTCGCACAGCTTGGATCGGCAGCCCGGCGCTGGGCGTGGGTGTTCTAGACGTTCCATTCCCCCGTCGTCTGATCAAGTTATGTGCCCTATTGCGTCCGCCTCTCTGGCTTCGGTCTATCTGCATTTGGATTCCTGCCTGGACGTCGCCGCTATTGATTCCTGTACTCGGTCACCTTTCCTGTCCCTCGCGCGATCAGATATTCTCTTCCTCCCTTGATATCTGCCCTGCAGCATGTGGCCGTCCTCTATTCGTCCTTCGACTTCGTCATTCGTGTAACGTGTTTCTGTGCAACGGATGATCATTTGGGTTTTCAGCGCGTTGACTGTCTCTGTTTCCCTCTGTTGTTTTCGAATCCGGGATCTCCTGACGCCGCTTTTCGCCTTTTTATTTCCCTTTCCATTTTTTTTACTGCCTTTCTTTCCAGGCAGATACCTTGCCCTCGGTCTCTGCCCCATTTGGGCCTTGATCATATTGATTTTTCTCGCGGGAATATCTCTTTTAGACGAAGGGAGGAAAAATCTACGTGAAGGTTGAGGGGAGAAATCTTCCTCTTTTCACTTCATCTATCCCGGTACCGTCTCGGATCTCCTGATTTTCTCTCAGTCCTGTCAACAAAGGTGCTGACTAGACCGAGACCATGGCAGCGGAGTCCGAGAGGTCGCCTTACCTCAATGGTCACTCTGGTGGAACCAGAGTGGCCCAAAGCGATGAGGCTGCATCAACTGCATCCCGGCGGTCTGCCAGCGGAAGTGACATGAAAGAACTGCCACGTTCAACCTTTAACCCTCAGGCCCAAGCCACCATTACATCTCAGTTGCCTAAATTATCACCTGGCTTCTCCGCTCCCCCTTCCGCAACGAATTCGACCTTTTCCTCCCGCGAATCCTCTCCGGTTCGATCCGCACATCGCCCCAGCAACTCGGCCTCAAAATCCCGCGTCTCCTCCCGGTCACGCAAAGGCAGTCAAGATCGCAGTCCCGTTCGGTCCAATATCACAAGTCAACCTGCTGGAACGGGTGCCCCTCCATCCGCGTCCGCTGTACAAAAGGCGCTGCCTAAGCCTATTGTCCTCAATCCTACTCCCAATGTCGAACCGTCGGCCGATGTACTCAACCCGGAAAAGCCTACCATGCCTCTATGGGCCGCCTCTCGACGACCGGAGCCAGAGGCCCATCTTGCCAATACTTCCAGCAAACGATCGATCCTCCTTCCCCCCGATGACCCTGCGGCAAAGCCCGACCGGAGCGCTCCCCGCGCCGTGAACAGAAATAATGGACCCGTTTCCGCCCTCGAGACCGTTCAGGAAATGGCCAGCGACCAGTCGACCCCGTCCACGGAGACTGTCTTGAATCAACCTTTCCCGGAAGAGCCTCAACTGCAGATAATCGACGAAGACCCTACAACCCCGAAAGGCCCCAAGCCGAATGTCGAAAGTGGCAGCGAGAGTGGAGGGAATAAAAGCTCGGAGCATGTTGGTGGGAGCCGCCGACGTGCTTCGTCGGGACCTAAAGGATCCGAGACTACTATCATACCGAAGCGGTCAACCACGTCGCTGAGTGGCGCTCGCAACAAGCCGGCAGATGGATCCGTTCGCAATATGATTGTCGAGACCGAGACGGTCAGCTCCATTCCTCAAGTCTCCTTGGGCGTCGTGACAGGCGATCGAGGCGGCTCCGGCCGTGTCGACCCCGGGACTCTACGCATGAAACCCAGCACCGAGACGATCCGTCCGAAGAAGGAGAAGAAAAGGGCTCGCAAGCCTGCCGCTCTCTCGAGTGGCGCCGCGTCTTCCAAGGCTGACATTTTTGAAGCCAAGGTCGCCAGCGCCGTCGACGAGGCTGATGTGTCCGACTCGGATGAAACCTTTGTCTACGAGTCCAACCCCCCGGATCCGTACCCTGCTCGACAGCCTCGATATCACTCGCGGACCCCCAGTGCAACTTCCATGGCTAGCCAGGTCGATCAACTAGCCGGGCGCAGCCGTGCTGCAGGCCTGAGGGATGGCAACCATAGCGTAACGGGAAAGCGAAGCATGAAATTCACCAATAATGCCTACGCTGGCAGCGCCGATGGGGATGCCGGCGAGGAAAGCGGTCGCAGTCACTCCAGAGTCGATGCCAGCGGATCACATACTCCCCGCCATCACCATATTGGACGATATGGACGCAACAACATCTACCCGTCCCTCTTTGATCATGAGTCGTCGCCATTTTCTCAACATCACAACCATGTCAAATCGCCTCGTCACTTCATGGGGAGTGGGATGCGACAGACACGCTACCCCAGCTCCCGAGGAGCCCCCAACTATCGTACTATTTCCAACTCCAAAAAGGCGGGCGAAATCTACGGATACGATTTCGATGCGGAAGGTGCGGACGACGAACGGACTCCTCTAGTAGGGTCTCCCCGTTTGGCACGGAGCCGCCATGGTAACCGACGGCCCAACAGCGCAAGTTTGCGTCAGATGGAGTACATGCAGCAACGCCAGCGCAACTGGTTCTCGCGATACGGTGCCTGCGTTGTCATCGGTCTTTTGCTGTTGGTTGTCATTGGAGGCGCCACCTCGTTTATCGTTGCCATCACCAAGCCGCTCCTGGACGTCGAGGTTCTTGCCATTCAGAACGTGCTCGCATCGGAGCAGGAAATCATGTTAGACCTCAATGTGCAAGCGGTAAATCCTAACCTCTTCCCCGTGGCAATCGACGACGTGGACATCAACATCTTCGCCAAGAGTCGATTTGTGGGTACGGACAAATTTTGGCGCGATCACGGTTCTGACGGCAGTCATTTTCCGCGGGTCGAGGACAGCAAGAAACGATCCGAGCTGGCACGCCTGGCACGTTGCTCGGATAGTGGTGCAGCAGACTGTCTGGTGAATGAGACTCGGTCGAACGATCCCACTATGTACACTCGCGATGGCGTTGACAAGGGAACGGATCCTATCCCTAGCGATCCCGCAGGCGATCCCCAAACGATGCTGCTCGGCCGTGTATTCCACTTCGATTCTCCCCTGACTTTTGAAGCGTCACCGTGGAATCATTCGCCGTCTGTTTCTCAAGGGCAAATCCGTCTCGCTCGACCTGGAAACAAGACCGAAGAAGGCGGCACGGAACGCTGGGAGCGGGTTCTTCAGCATCAGTTTGATTTGATCGTTCGCGGTGTTGTTAAATACCAGCTGCCTTTGAGTTCCCGACTTCACTCAGCCTCGGTCAGTTCCAGCGTCAAAGTAACACCGGACAGCAACGGCAATGATCCTGAGGATGGCGATAATCCAAACCCTTCTCCTGGCGGGAACGAAACCGCCAGTATCTCCACGACGAGACTGTATCGTCGAGACCTCCCAAAGCCTCGTCGACTGGATCTCCGACAATCAGCAATAGAGTCTGTCCGAGCGCGACTTGGGATGGCTGGACGAGTTTTTACGGCGTGATCTTACGTCACCTCCCCTACCCCTCTTGATTGCATCTACTTCTTTTTCTCCCAATTTTTGGTAATACTTTCTTTTTTAACCTTGGGTATCAGATCGTCTTTGGTCTACCTTCTGTCATTCTCGACATCTACCTTCGCCCCCATACACATTCTTCCCGCCATGGTTCTAACAATTGGGTCATGCGGTTGTATATTGATTGGTTTCTGTTACATTCCATTTGCTAGTTTCTCAAATGGATCTGCAGGATTGGTTAGAATCCGTCAACCAGTTGATTTCTGCGATTTACGTCGTCCGTCTGCCTTTTGAGATACTGTCTTTTTTTACCTCTTTTTATCCCTCTTTTTATCTTCGTTCTATTTGCTTTCTTTTCCCTCATTGGACCCAACTACCCGAACGACGTGACGATGATCTGACATTTTACTTTATGAAACGGGCTGCACCCAAAAGCGCACAACGGAGAAACGGCACATCTTACTTTTTTTTTTCTAAAAAGGCATTTTGATTCAGGGTATGCATTAGCAACGGCGCTTTTTACACACTTTTATTATTCACTTTTACATTTTTTGGGTGATGGTGCGACCTTTTTGTGTCGTTCTTGAAACTTTTTGTTCAACTTAGAGGATACATACATACTCTGGATGGGA